TCAGGATTTGGGAGTTGGAAAGTGCATTTATGGCCAACCCATGGTGGCCGTATGCATGTTTTCAAGTTATCCGAAAAAGTGTTCGAAAAGTAACCGAAATTCGTTAGTGCAATATTAAATATAAATTATTTTGCTACCCGACTCTTCCATTTATCGGTGTCTTGCTCACCCCTGTTTGATCTCTGTCTAGCCGGCAAAAGGAATGTGAACGACAAGTCGGCAAGATTATAACAAATATAACACGATGTGTGTTAGCAGAGTTATCGTTACCAATTGGGATAAATGAATTCGCTGACGCTCCAATAAGAGAGTGTGTTACATGCGTTCACATAATTATCTGGACCCTCTGGACGCAGACTCTTTTAAAATTGAGTTGTGCGCGAGCCACCTTCTCACAGTTCTTAGTTTCCAAATCTCTTGGATATAGTTGATATTTTTTATTGCTCACCATATTGCTGAAAGTATTAGCTTATGTGCTTCGATTTATTTAAAAATTGTAATATAAAGCAATGCATTATTAACCATACGGAAATCAAAAGAAAAGAAGTTGCAAAATTAATTTAATTCTTCTTGCGTCTTAATACATTTGTACCTGACTATAATGGATCTTGGTGTTATTTTTCGTTATTGTCAGTAGGAAGTTACTCTTAAATGATCTTCTTTTGCATAATGCCTATTTTTCGATTTTCCTTACTGTTTTAGTGTATATAGTGTATTACACCCCGTTATTACCTAACGCCGAGCTAAGCCAACGTTCAGCCTAATCAACAACTAATACAGAAGCATTGTACTAACCGGAAGTAGTTATCCTAGGCACATCCCAGGAGAGAGTTCTCAGTTGAGAGTGATTGACGTGTTATACTTGTGCTCCAAGATTTTTATATATTTTTGCAACGAAAGTCTGTTAATTATTGCATTCATAAAATGCAAAATGTTGTTATTGCTTGTTTTGATTTTTTGCTTTGGTGCTCCCCTGTGCATACACTCGATTGTGCGTGTGTTCACTGCTGCATATTTCTGCTTGTGCATCGCGCTCTCTCAAATAATTGCTATTGCTTTTCGCACCAAACAATTTGTTTGTGTACGAATAATTGTTTTTTGAGTATTTACTTGCTCTACTTTTGTGGACTGTTTTCGCAACTTTCCTACGCTTATAATAATTATGTCGTGCTGTAAGAAACATTGCACGTTCAAGCAAGCTGATGATTTTGCACTGCCGCAATTTGTAAAGTGCTGGCTGTTTAAGAATATAATGCATGCAAATTGATATCTCTGGAATGAATCATTCTGTAAGAAATCAATTCATAAAATTGAATAATGTGGCTAAGCAGCTCTCGAGTAATTTTAATTCGAGTTGCTTGGCAAATACAAACTCGAGTCTCCAACCAATTGCCGTTGAAGCCTCAACGTTTGCAACTGCCCTCTACGTCTGTTTAAACACCTACGCCTTCTTGTCCCTACATAGCCACTTGGATTTATCTCCAAATTGTCTTTATCGCCTTTTCCGAGTTCCAGTAAAGCCCGTACCTGATCCTGTCCCAGTTATCCAAAGTGGCTCATCCCCGTCAGCTCCTGTCCACAAAGGTGGACCTGCGCGTCATCTTGTCTAGATTGTTAAAAAAAATCATGGTGCCTCTTAACTTCCTCCAACTCCTGTATTATCTACAGCCCCACCAGTGCCTACCTTAAAGGTTGTTGCCCTTCGTAGGCAAGTTTTTGTGTCTCGACTTTCGTCGGACACCACATCTGAGTCATTGGCACCCTATATTGCTAGAAAATCTTCTGCTACTGTGTCAATAACCGAATTTAATTTCTCCACCCCTCGTGAAATATCATCATTGAAAATGAATGTTTCACAACATATGTTCCCAATCATTTGTGATCCCAAATTTTTGCCTCTCCACATGATTGTTCACGAGTTCAAGCCAAACAAGTAAGAGGTTCTAGTCGGGAGCTCCCGACTAGGGAATACCCTGAACCCTCTTCTTCCAACATCAAATGCATATATATATTCTATTTTAGAAGCTATATGTCAAGTTTGGTGACTCTAGCACTTATTATATACCAAAATTTACCAAAAAACAGGATATCGATATCGATTTTAATCGATTGCTTGGAAAGGAGCACCTACATCTAAAATTTCAAGTCTCTAGCTCTTATAGGTTCTGAGATCCTTGCGTTCATACATACGGACAGACGGACAGACAGACGGACATGGCTAGATCGACTCGTCTATTAATGCTGATCAAGAATCCTTCTGCCTGTTACATACATTTGGATTTAGCACAAATACAATATACCCTTATACACATTTTTAATGGGTTCAGGGTATAAAAAGCGTAACCAGCCTGTCACCCTTCCAGTCCCTTCAATACAGGGTACCATTTCTGCCCCAAAAAACTAGCTTTATCTTCTGACCAAATCTCTATTCATTATCAGAATGTCAGAGGTCTCATTTCTTAACTTAAAGATTTTTTCATACCCAGCATTTCCTTCGATTGGGATATAAACGCTTTTTTTCCAATCGACTTACTCTTTAGTCTGTCCTAATACTCATTTTTACCCTTATACTATTAGTTTCTTTAGTTCTATACCACGTCCAATTATTTTACACTCTTCTCTCCTTTTAGCTATAAATTCTTCTTACTATCCTGCGCCTGGCAATATTCCTAGTTGTCTACTCAAGGAGTGTAGTTCTTCCCTTCTTTATCCATGGCTAATGCTGTTTAATGTATTCCTTGATTCTTTTGTCATTCCATCTCTTTGGAAAGTCTGATATACAAAATTTCAGGGGCATTGCAAAACCGACGGCAATTCCTAAAAATAATCAATTCGAATTCGTAAAGAATCGGTCAACTTCGACCAATCTGCTTTAGTTTACTTCCTTGATAAATGATGATTTCCTTCGAAAATGCAAACTGATGTCATTTACACTGATTTGAGTAAGGCGTTTGACTGTGTGCACCATGACATTTTACTTTTTAAACTTGACCGACTTGACCCAAAAAGTAATGCTGAAGCTGACTACCTCTAAACAGGTTCAAGTTACTTCTGATGTTCCTCAATGTAGTCATCTAGGACCTTTTCTCTTTACTCTCTTTATAAATGATCTCCCCTCTGTTATATCACATGCCCGTGTACTCCTGTATGCGAACGATGTGAAACCTATTCTAACATATACTAATCCCCTACATCATTCTCGTCTACAAGACGATTTGATGCAATTTTGGGGTTAAGCCAATCAATTGCATCTGAATTGTTCAAAGTGTAAGTTTATGACATTTAATCGTACTACACCTTATCTGCCAGCTATATAATCGACAATACCCCTTTGCAACGTATACTAACAGTTAGCGATCAGGCGTTCTATTTGATTCTAAACTCTGTTTCAATCTTCACATAGAACCATCGTTAATGAGGTAAAAGGTGTACTCGGATTCATTAAACGATGGTATAACGAACCTTTTATAAAAAAACTTATATCTCTCCCTATCGTTAAATACTGCTCTTGCATCTGGTCTCCGCAGTATAACAATAGAAAGGATCGTTCAAAAGCAGTTACCCTAATCTTCTTAACATTTCGCCGTTTATCAACCGCAGGACAATTCTCGGGGTTGTCTCTCTTCATAGGCTGATTATTGGGGAAATAGATTCTTATTTTCTGCTAGAGCATTTTCAATTCACTGTTGCGGCTAGACCAACCAGAAATTATCGTCTCTTATTCCCATCTACCCCTAATAAGATCGTTGTGTACAGGATACCTTCGGGAAGTCACTAACCATTCCCAGCTATGAGCAAGGGTATAGCTTGCCGCATAGGCTGTACATTTTCTCATTACTTTTCTCGTTGTACTATCTACTTAACACTCTTTATCTAACTAACATTGCTTTACTTTATTAACAATCTTATTACTTTTGTTTCTTCGTATTTTTTGCATTTTTTAAATTAATATATCATATTAAGATTATTTTCAATTTTACTTAAGAACACTTTTTCCTACGTACACCCTTCTGCTTAGATGTAGGCTCTTATCGCGTCACTGACAATATTAGCTGTGAAAAGGGGCTCAGCTTGCCGGACTGGCAAATAAAACACCTCCATCGGTCAGTGATGCTATTTAGAAAATTGTGTTCTTTAACTAGGCTTAATGATATGATCTATTGAATAATGAGGAAGGCACTCGTTTTGTTGACCATTAATAATAAATAAAAAAAAAATCCCGTGCCCCGTGATAATATTTCCAGCATTTGGTAGGCCTGTTGCACTAACCAATAAGTGTTGTGCTAATTTCCGTTTGAGTAATCTCGACAGTTGATAATTGTGATTAACTGATTAATGAATTCTAGAGTATTAGTGATAACGGTAGCAATAAAGGTCTGTGCATGTGTAGAGATTTTGGAATATTTCATCCCAATCTCATCCCCATTGAAAATGCGCTTTTTACAATATTCGGTGAATGGGGGAAGTTAACATAAATGTGAAATAACCTTAAAATGGTTTTAGGTGGGTTTAATTTTATTGCTCGTTTGACAATTGAGTATGATTTTTATACCCTGAACGCATTAAAAAAGGGTATATAAGGGTATATTGTATTTGTGCAAAATCCAAATGTATGTAGCAGGCAGAAGGAAGCATCTCCGACCCCATAAAGTATATATATTCTTGATCAGCATCAATAGCCGAATCGATCTAGCCTTGTCCGTCTGTCTGTCCGTCCGTCCGTATGTATGAACGCAAGGATCTCAGAACCTATAAGAGCTAGAGAAATTTTAGATGTAGGACCTCCTAGTGCCTGCGCAGATCGAGTTTGCTTCCGATAATTAATAATCGATATCAATATCTTGTTTTTTGGGCAATTTTGGTAAATAATAAGAGCTGGAGTCACCAAACTTGACATTTAGCTTCTAAAATAGAATATATATATATATATATGCATTTGATGTTGGAAGAAGAGGGTTCAGGGTATCCCCTAGTCGGGAGTGCCCGACTAGAACCTTTCACTTGTTTTGTTCAGTGTTTGTGGAAAAACACGTGCGAGAAAAAAGGACGAAGTGTCTTTGCCTTTGCCTCATACCTAGTGTCTGGTGCGTAGAAACATAACTTGTGTTGTCTTTCTACCTATATCATTCTGTTCGACAATAACTGGCATTTTGCAGACAACCCGAGTATGAGGACCGAATTTTGCGACATTTGATCTTAGCTTGTTAGCCTGTACCTAGTGTCTCTTGCCATTCAACTATACAATTGTGCATACAGTGATGTTCCCAATCAACTATTTTATAACACCCCGTAATTTTTAATATCTGCGTCCGCCATGATCACCATGCTTGGTTTGTTAGACCGCCTTTCCTGGTTTTAAGGGAATTATGAGATTACAAAATATGAAGAGGTTTTATAAAGAATTTGAGAAACCAGGAAATCACTTTGATTTCTCCCACTATGCAGTTGCCAGATCAAATTTTCTATTTTTACCGTTGTCGCATTCAGTTAAAAATCAGTTTGTCTGTAAAAAAAACATATTGTGTCAAATATAATAATCTGTATAATAGTTGATAAAACGATAAAGAACAAGACCATCAATTTTTATTAAATGTATCAGTAATATAATAAGGTTCACCTTGACGTAAATCTTATTTGAGGCATACAGATGTGGAAGGATAAAGACATGGTAGCAGTTTATTTTACACGCGAGGATTGACATAGCGTTGCTTTGAACAGAGCAATTTATAGGGAGGGTATATTAAGTGTGTAGCCTCATTTGTGCCATCCAACTGAGCCAAAAACTATCGCGTATGATAATGTCTGTCCGTTTTTGAGTTAGAACCGCTTTATAAGCACCAGTCTTGACACGTGTGTATGTTATTTATGCAGTAGCATTTTTTGGCTATGAGTTTTGTTAGTTTCAAGATCTCACACCCCATCCGGTGAGCTACGCAACGCAACCAGACGTGTCAAGCAGGAAACAAACACACACAAGAATAGGGCATGAATAAGTTAATTAGCCATAGGTATCATGTATAAATCAGTGCACTTTTTAGCACGACAGCGTTACAAAATCAAATAAATAAACCAATTTATATAATCCACAATTGAAATGCAATTGACTTGAAACACAGAAGTTACTAAAAAAAACCGTGTGTTGTCTGGACTCGAGTTTGAGGCAGCAAGCGCAAATTGTAAAAGTTTCTGTATACGTGTACACACATGCATTCAATCGTGTCTCATCACCGTTTGTTAGGTAATTCGCCAACGAATGGTCGGTCATGCAATGCCCCCCAAAAAAAAGATGACAACTAACGATCTTATGCATTACTGGTCGTTAGGAATTAGGAATTAATTTATTATGAGGTATATGCTTCGTTTCAAAACTCTGATGATGAATGATAAAAAGAAGCCGAGTTCCCTAGATCAAGAACTGTATAGGCAACAAGGGTCTTTTGTTAATTGTGTGGTTTTACTCAACTGGAAAACTTAAACACCTAATTATTGTAATGGGTATGTTTTTGCAATAATCTTCATATATTTTTTTTATCCAGAGTTAATTGGTATCTTTTATTTAAAAAAAAAAATGTAAGCATTTGAAATAAAACATTAAATTTTTCACTTCAGAGTCTATATCAAAGGGAATTGCTGCTCGGTTTCTAGAAGACCAGCTTCAAAAACAATGCAGCTACTTAATTGTAAGGTTATTAGTTGTAAGTTAATGCTAAGAAGGCAATTTTTTAAATAAAATTTTAATTTGTTGTAGTAAACTATTAGTATTATTTCCACTAGCGAAAGAGCAAACCACTTTGCACTAGCATGATCGAGTAAAATGTGCTGGCGAGATCCCTTTTGGATCAGATAAATCGCCAGCATCTTTGTTCTAGCACAATCGCTAAGTAAGTGTGCTAACGAAATCGACAACCCTCTTGCACTAGGTTTTTTGTTAGGTCAATGTCATACAAGCTCGTACCGCTCGTTACGCGGCAGTGACATCCCCATGTTAAATTCGTTAGGCTAACGAATTTATGTTTGCATGGTTTGATACCAGTACTCTTCACAAAGAGTCAGCTAAATCGTTGGCGGTGCACCGTTGGACCCGAACTACAGGGTATCAACTGGATTGCAATTGTAAACGATTGTTCTCTGCGATAATATTTTAATCCGTTTGTTTCCCATTAAGACTCAATTATTGGTGTGGCTGTTGCGTAGAGGTGGCCACAATTAGTTTGGCCTGTTGCAAATTCGACCTTTTTTTGTTTTATATATTATTTAATCGGGGGCTCCCGACTATAACCTCTTACTTATTTGAATTTAGACTATTCCAACAGACATTAGCCTTACGGTTTTTAAGATATGTGAAAATTGTGAAGCTCATAAATTATAAGCTTGATGAAAATATTTTGCGATACAAAAACACATGGCTCACATATATGAACTTGGACAGCATATCTTGTTGAAAAAAAAACATACAAGAAGTTAATTTTTTGCTGATCGATTTTATATTGCCTATTCGATATCGTGGTCCGATTTTGATAAGAATTTGCATGTATGTAAGAACTGCATTTTCGAGCAATCGTTCCCATGGGAGCTATTTTTTTTTATAAGATTTCGCATATATGTGCGAATAGTAAAATAATAAATGCGGAGTTTGTTCGTTTTTTTTTTGACAACTAACAAAATGTTTAATACAATACTGAGACTAGTTTGCATAGAAAAAAACAGACGGACAGAAAAAACTGCCTATATAAACATGGCTGTTGATGCTGATCTGCAATAATTTTTCCCCTCAAAATTTATTAATCATCCAGAAAGAAATAAGAAGCTAAAGTAATACAATTTATTATAAAGGTTCTTTCTATACTGCGTTAAAAAATAAAAAGGTTCAACTTTAATAGCAACAACCATAGAAGTTGGTACAGTAGAGTTTCCAACCATTCCCTATTTTGTTTTTGCTCATACTAGTGTTTACCTTTTTCAGTAGGTATTAATTTTTGTTATAAAAATAAGCAAAACAACAATGCGCCTATGCATATTTTCACAAAAATTTCAAACATTTTGTGTATCTAGCAATAAACTTAATTGTTTTATTTATTTATTATGTTGCTTACAAAGTGTTATTAGTCTACAAACCTTTCCGGTATTTTTCGCCAACGGTAAAATCAGTCATACCTTTGCCGGCCGTTCCACATGTACCAATACCGACTCTTCCACTGACATTATCCGGCGATGCAAATATACTGTTCACTTTCATGCCTGGTTTCTTTTGGTTTTTAGTCGTAAAACTAAGCCACTTATTTTTGTCTGACTCACGTTCTTCTTCCAAGTCTTTGAAGCGTTGTTGTTTTTTTTGTTTTCGTTTTTTTAAATATTCCTTTTGATTTGGTCGGTGACGCCTGCAAAAACAAAAACAAAATTAAAATAAAAAATCGAAATAAATTTAATGTCATTTTTCATACTTATTCGAGGGAAATACTTCATTGCGGGTTGTGCGCTCACGCAATTCACTAAGAGTAGTGGTAGAACGATTTTGGTAAGCTTCGAAGATGACACTCACTTCACCTTTTCCAGTAATACCTTCGATAGTAGCATCGTAGTATTGACCGTCCTCTGTCCATTTCGCTTGGCATTTGTCTCCAATTTTCCATACCTTGGCGGATGTTACCAATTTTTCAGCTTCTAAAAGAGCAGCTTCTATTTCGTCAAAGTAATTTGACGACGCTGTTTTGGAGGAAGATGGTTCTACGTACGAGGATTTTCGCTGCTCTTCCAATTGTGTTTTTATCAAGTCTCGTGTGAGTTTGATGACCTCTTCTAGATCGTCCTTTAATTTTAAGAGTTCGTCATTCCTTGGATCTGTTTGCAAGGCAGCTTCGACCTACAAAAATCGGACAAAAATAAAGGGAGTACCTACATATAAGTTTGTGCTACTTGAAAATCATAAGCACAAAAATCATAATATTTTCAATAAAGTCAATTTTTATACTTATGCATGAGTGCCTATGTAGGTGCATATGATTTTAACCTACATACATATGTATGTGCATTTATAAACAAATGCTCCATAAAATGGTACAGGTGTTCATCAAACCGCACACATATACGTATTAAAAAACATCTGCAGTTTAATAACAGCATTCTTTGAAATTTATATAACACAATACTCACTTGCTGCAATTGGCATTTGTAATTTTGTAAATCGTCTGCCATAGTAATGAATATATTGCAGTTTCATAAAAAACACTATTGCTGATTTATAGCATAAGTGATGGAACAGCACTTTAGAACTACTCCCTATCTATCGATATCTTTTAATATATCGATATATCGAACTATTTAATGGGTATTCGGTAGTTTTTCGTTGTAGTCACATCACATATGAAACGTCCAAATGTATCGAGGCGGTAACTATTTAACGTAGGTTTTACCCAGGATTCCATTTCCACCGCAACTTAACTTTACTGCGCATTTTAGAAACTACTTAAAGTTGCCGATAACGCGGTGGTGGCACGATTATCGAGTGTCGTGCATCAACAATAGTACTTGACGATGAATTTCCGACAGTTGTCAACTATCGTCAACGCTTCGATATGAGCGAATGAGAGCTGTTATCTATTGATGACGAATGATTATCATTATTGAATTTAAGATTTGGCGGAGGCTATTGTGTATTTAATATAACTATAACACAAAAAATATTTTCATTTGCAATATTTTCATTAATTATACTTCGTTAACTTTACTTATTTTGAACATTTTAAATATAACCTTAATAATTTTAAAAATATGTATAAATACACCACGCTTAACATTCGGCATTAAACAGGCCTGGGTTTTTGATATCAATTGTAAATAATCGGGTTTCCTCCATTCATGCGTTCCCCATTCAATGCACCTGCCGTTTTACAAAATATATTAAAATAAGTTTAAAATCTATCCGACCATAAACAACAATATATTACGCATCCGAAAAATGATGTATTTTGTTTGATTATTTTTTTATTGAATGGTATCACTAACCATACAATGTATAGACAGACCAACTGGCACTTTTAATCGAAACAAAAAAAATCGAAACGAGGCGACCCCAATGGTACCTGCGACCTGTGTGCCCAGACACTGGTGAGACTGCTGAGAGTGGCAGCCGAACGCCGGCCTCAAAAGCCGAACGTTCAGTATGAAGCCGCATCTCGCTCAGCGCACAACGTCGCGGCTGATGCGTTTTCTTAATATATGTATGTATGCCATTTTTAAATCCTTACAGCCCAAAAACATATGTGTGTATGCATGTGCCTGGCTCATTGCTTTGCGCACTTGGGTCCATCTCTTTCTCCCTCCCCGAGATCTACAAACATTCCTATGTTTGTGTTGTGTGGATGTGCGCACAAGTAGATCGCGGCGTTTGTCGCGTGCCAGAGGTTATTTCTTCAATTGTGTACCTTTTGTGCCTGTGGTAGCAATAGGCACTCACATTTAAATGCTCTATCATGTATTTCTTCGTCCAGTCAGGCATGATGAGAAGAATTTGATCAAATTTTATTTAATAAACAATTAATTGACCTAAACAAAATATTTATATTTATTTTCTGTTTACTGTAGCGACCTATTTTGCTTAAAATACAAAAATATCTAAGTCGTATTTCTGCAAGGGTAATTCATCGTCGGCTTATGGAAGAATTTAAGAAAAGACCAAAAATTGACGCACACTCTTTCAAGTAAGCAGTTGTGTGAAATTATTAAAGGGTTTGGCCTGTTCATGTGCAAAATTGCTATTTTCCATGCTTGTTGTTGGGGTAAGGGTACCTGATCGCTGGCATGTGTGCATGATAACTTTTTGGGTCGGAAAACCACGCACACTAACACACTTTTCTATATGGATGGAAGCATTAATGCGTTTGTGTGCGTGTTGGTTGCCTGCTTGCCTGCCCGATGCAAATTTGACCAAATTTGAAGTTTTTGGCATTTTTGTTTTTTAAGCAAAATAGGTCCCTACAGTAAACAGAAAATAAATACAATTAATTGTGTATTAAATAAAATTTGATCAAATTCTTCTCATCATGCCTGACTGGACGAAGAAATACATGATAGAGCATTTAAATGTGAGTGCCTATTGCTACCACAGGCACAAAAGGCACACAATTGAAGAAATAACCTCTGGCACGCGACAAACGCCGCGATCTACTTGTGCGCACATCCACACAACACAAACATAGGAATGTTTGTAGATCTCGGGGAGGGAGAAAGAGATGGACCCAAGTGCGCAAAGCAATGAGCCAGGCACATGCATACACACATATGTTTTTGGGCTGTAAGGATTTAAAAATGGCATACATACATATATTAAGAAAACGCATCAGCCGCGACGTTGTGCGCTGAGCGAGATGCGGCTTCATACTGAACGTTTGGCTTTTGAGGCCGGCCAACTCAGCAGCCACTCTCATCAGTCTCACCAGTGTCTGGGCACACTAAAATGGTCGCAGGTACCATTGGGGTCGCCTCGTTTGGATTTTTCTTGCTCCGATTAAAAGTGTCATTTGGTATGTCTATACATTGTATGGTTAGTGATGGTGTTGATTACCGATGCTAAATTTGAATAATTATAAATTCTTTCTCAAAATAATTAACAAGTTTCAAAAAAAGGCAATACCTTGCGATTCTAAAAGAAATGCAAAGGCCCCTTGCTTTAGACAAAGTCAATATAAACACTAAGATGAGTAACGCCCATACATTTGAATGCGACGCAAAATTTCTAGCCTGGCCTTTCATCTGGCCTTTGAGGCTTCGTACGGCATGCCTGCCGACTGATTGTTCGTTCTCCAAAGACCAGACGAACGAATGCCGAAGTCGCGGCTTGCTGATGCTGACACGAGCTACGAAGTTAGTCGCCAGCCTGCCTTCAGCAAAGCTGGTCGATGATGCTTTGCGTCGCTTCATTTTCGAAGTACATTGAGCGAAAAAGTTTAGAGCTTACGATCGACGCAATGTGCTTGTGCTTTATCCATGAAATGCATGCTTTATTTAAATGATATATTACTCTAGATATTAACGATTAATTTTACAGGAAAATTTAAGAACTTATATAATTTTTACACAAGGCGCTTCTTGCGCAATAACTATGTTAAGAAAATAGCACACATAGATTGATTTCACTTTTCTTTTTGGACAGTGTATGCTCGAAAAAATGTCTTGTCTCAGCCAATAGCGTGCGTGCACCTTTCGTTGTATGCGTGAATTATACATGCATAAGAACTTTAAAGTATGTATGTATGTGTTGTTATTCATTGCTGTGGCTTTTGCTGGCAAGAAATTAATTTCGTTAGTTTTCTTACGCAGATCATGACCTATCCCAAATTTGTGTCCCAATTTTGTGTACTGAGGTTGGCTCCGCAGAAAATATGTATTTCTAAGTCGATGCAAATATTTACAAAATTTAATTAATATTATTTTTATTCTCCAATTAAGAAATATAATAGTGCTAAAAAATACAATTACATTTCAAGTCGACTCGAAGGTCATATTTAGTTATGACCCCATTATAATTATAATGGCCTCCTCGCGGTGTTCCTTGCGTACTTTGTTCTTTATAATTCGAACATAAAATAATCAAATAAAAAAAAAAAATAAAAATTAATTAAATGTATCTTTGAAAACAACAAATTTGTACTTTTATTTCCTTAATTTATTTTGTATTACTTAAAAATAATAATAATATAATTAATAATTTCAAATATAAATAATTACATAAATATTTGTATCGACTTAAAAATACAAATTTTTTTGTACGGAGCCAACCTCAGTACACGAAATGCATACATCAACAGAAATTTTGGGTAGGTCGTGATCTGCGCTAAAAAACTAAGAAAATTGTTTCTTTGCCAGCCAGAGACTTTGCCAGAGCAGTGGATAACAACACATTCAAATATGCTGTTATGTATGTATATTCACACGCATATAAACATAATTGCTTGCATGGATTTCGTTTTCGTTCTCAATTTTCAAAAAATCAAGCTGCATAGTAGCATTTTGTTGTATGGCGTTACTCATCATAGTGTTTATATTGTCTTTGGTTTAGACCACTAACCATACAACATGTAAATGAGACATCTAGAACAAATGCATGTGGCCATTCGTTTTTAGATTATTGGTTCACAGTCGACTTCGTTTTTGTTCGGGTCCTCTCAGAGAGCAAGAGAGTATGAAATACATACGATTTGTATGATAGAACGCCATCCCCGTCTGTTTATTCAATACTTTCTGATTATGTATGGGGAACGTTTAAATGTATGAGAGTGTATGTGTCCGCACAAGAAACAATGCGCTCAAATTCAATTTTTCGAATGCATTTCTTCTCTTTTGAAGATTGACAAAGTTTGCAACGCGAATGCGAAATTCTTGAATTTTATCACGTTATCGTTTGTAAGGGTACTTGTTGTCGGCATGCATGCATTTAATATTTTTTGTACTTGCATTTATGAGTTGGTGTGCATGTTGGTTCTTGTGATTTCTGACTTACGTGCTTTACACACAAACACACACACACACAAACACACACACACACAGAAAGAATACCATAGCATATGGAAACCTGGTAGGCGAAACGTTAGGCGAAAAGGCAGAGGTCCGGATGCTGTCCCACCGAGTGACCGTTGAGTTGAAGGACCTGGGCGAGATCACGACCAGAGAGGATATCTGTGAGGCGCTGAGAGGTCAAATCCAAATACTGGACAAAGCCCCTGAGAATATCAGCCTCCGAAAGGCGTATGGCCAAACACAAACAGCGACGATAAGACTGCCAGCGGGAAGAGCGAAAAAGGCCCTCTCAGTAGGTTCCCTGAAAGTGGGCTGGGTTAACTCGAGAATCCGCGAACGGAATAACATCTTAAGATGTTTCAGATGCCTCGAGTTTGGACATCGCTAGATGTAAAAGTGATCTAGACAGATCGAATCTGTGCCGACGCTGCGGAGGAAAGGACCATCTGGCTAAGGACTGCAAAAAAGACCCACAGTGCATGCTCTGTAAGGAAAGGAATGCCGACAGCAAACACATTGCCGGCAGCGGCAGATGCCCCGTGTTTAGGAGCGCCCTGGCCAACAGAAAATGAAGTGGACACAGCTGAACCTCAACCACTGCGAGGCTGCTCAGGCCCTGCTGACACAATCAATACGGGAGAGACATATTGACGTCGCAATAATCTGCTAGCCATACAAGCCTATCGCTGGAAGTGGATGGGTGGCAAGTAAATGTGGAAAAGCGGCCATTTGGTCTGTCAAATCCCCGGTC